TTTTTTTTTTTTTTTTCAAGTAGCTACAGAAGTTTCAAGTCCAGAATGTTAAGTCTGTAACAACTTTCTCAAAATCTTATTCTATTTGTACAGATGACTTTTGTATGAAATGTAAGTGGATTTTCTTGGTTTTGATTAACTTGGTGATTGCTTTAAGTTCTACCCGTTGGCAAACTGAGGACCCTGGAACTCCTTATGCCTGGGTTGAAAATTTGATGCTAATTAATCACTTAATAACGCTATTGTTTGTATTTTTTCCTTTCTTCCTGAATGATGAGGTGGATGTCCCAATTTATTGAACAGCCTAAGGTTCAAGGATATGTACTTCGTGCACATTAGAATTAATAAATGAGTATTATTATTGACTGAAGATACTTAGATGCTCAGTTTACATGTTGTATAGATATGGGAATGGATTATGTTATCAACCTCCCTAGAAGATATTAGTTACCGTCTCATATTGTGGTAGATTTTAAAATTTAAAACATTTTTTCACAAGTCTTTCCTTCTCTTTTTCTATATATACTGGAAATGACAAAGACATGTTATGAAATTGGGAACAAGTTAACAAATGCAAAGGAAAAAATAGAAAAATCAGGGAAGAAGTTTCAGAAAGTAAAGTTTGAATGGAGTGGACTGATATATCGTGAAGTAGCCTGTCTGGAATTAGGGGATCCAACAAGTGTTGATCCAGATTAATATAATTCTGATAACTTGGAAATAACTGGAAATTTACAAATTGTGAGGGACCCATAAAAATCATCTTGTTCAGTCTTTCAGTGCAGAATTCCTTTTTTTTTTTTTTTTTTTGGAGAGGTTTTTGCTATAGGATGCATGCGCTCGCCTGACAGAGACAGAGAGACAGAAAGCGAGAAATCACCCCCCAGGGGGGACAGCCACGCTGCAATCCCTTTCCTCCATTCTCCTCTTGGGATCTTGGGCACGCACGCACATGCACCCGGAGTGAGTTTTAAGCCACCAGGTCCGGGACGTGAACCGTGGTCGACTACATGGGAGTCCAGTGACATAGCCATTACGCTAACTGCTGGTCCCCAGAATTCCTTTTTTTAAAAAGAATTATTTATTTAATTTTATTTACTCATTTATTTAATTTGACCAGAGAGAGACACATAGAAAGAGACAGAGAAAGTGAGAAAGCAAGTCACCAGGTCCAGGAATCAAACCGTGGTCAGCCATATGGGAGTGTCTAGCACCCTAACCACCACACCAACTGCTGGTCCCCAGTGCAGAATTCCTTTTACATAAATAACCTATTTCTTTTACAGAAACTTTGAGATTGATCTTGGAGTTTGGAAACTGAAGTTCTCCATTATATTTCCATGTTGAAATGTTGGTTTATTTCTGCCAAGTTTCACCAAGATATAGAGTAGTTTGATTCCTGGATTTTGGAATCAGACCAAGGTTCATATTGTTACCTTGACATTTTCTAGATTTGTGATTATGAGCATGTTATAGTCTACCCTTCTGTAACAGGCTTTATAGGACTGACCTCAGAGGATTAGTTTGTACTTTAAATGAGATAATATGTCATATACTAAGCAGGGTTGCCTATCCTTGGTAGGTACTTGACAAATGTTAATTCTCTCTCACTTCATTTTATAGTTTAGTTTTTCTGGTTAATAGGAAACATGTTTAGGCTATTTAGATCTAGTATCTGAGATAGATTTATTTTGTGCCACATTTTATGATTTCCTAAGGCCAGAAGGAATAAGTACTTTCCACCATGTATATTTACTGTGAATTTATTGTCTTAGTCAATTTACTGTGAATTTTGTGTTTTAAATGGAATGATCATAATTATCAAGCAAGTTTTTGCTTGCTTATAGGCTATCAGAGTTGAATTTAGTTTTCTTAGATGGAAGTGAATCATATTGCCAAATTTCTGAATTGTAGTATTTTAGTAAGTAATGTTTTCGTGAAGAGAAACAAACAAGGTTTAGTTTCCATGAGATCAAATAATCATCGTCCTTAATACAAGAAGACTTCAAAAAGTTCATTGAAAATAGAATCAGGTAAGAGTTCATTTTGGTGCCAAAAGAAAGCGAAATCTGGTTGCCAGTAGGTGGTGTGGTGGTTAAAGGTGCTGGGTTCCCACATGGCCAACCGTGGTTCGAGTACTGGACCTGGTGGCTTGCTTTCTCACTTTCCCTTTCTCGCTCTCTCTTTCTGGTCAAATTAAAATAATAATAATAACAAATGGAAATAATTCTTTAAAAAAAAAGTGAAATCTAGGGCTGGCAGGTGGTGTGGCAGTTAAGGCACCAGACTCCCATGGCTGAACATGGTTCAAGTCCCAGACCTAGTTGCTTACTTTCTCACTTTTTCCTCTCTTTCTCCCTCTGGTCAAATAAAAAAGTAATTATAATAAAGAGAATAAGTTAAATATATTAAAAAAGTGGAATCCATGCATACTTTTTTCATAATACGTGTTTCCATGAACTTTTTGAAGATGTGTCTTTATAATGTAGGTAATTTCTTTTTATAATTATTTTATTTAACTTTATTTATTAATTCATTTATTTTGATTTGACCAGAGAGGAGGGGGGGGGGGGTGTATAGTGAGAAAGCAAACTGCCAGGTCCAGGACTTGGACTGCAGTCTGCCATGTGGGTAGTCTAGCTCCCCCAGCCACCACACCACCCGCCTGCCCCAGTAGATAATTTTTTAAAAGAATTATTTAACTTTA